AGTAAGACGGGTAAATCTTGTTAACCAAAGCAGTCTTAAAGAAAATTTTTGTCAACATGGAGTTCCACAAACTCCTGGGGATGTATCGAGTGTGCAGAAACCCTTTGCTGGCAGTCAGGGTGGAACTGTGCATCCTAATGGCCGAAATGCTGCATGGCATAATCAACTGCATATGAAGGAATCAGGCGCTCTGAATTTGATCTGTGCAGACTAGAGACATCAGCCTACCCTCCTTGTCTGACAACTTGAAAAGACAGACTTTTTTAAAAGCAAAGTTGGTGCCCTGCCCAGCACTAGAGGCTAAGACTGAAGAGCCCTTCTGAAAGTCAGTAAGGGTTTAATTAAAAGTAGGGCTACATTCTGGATACGCAAAATTTGAGTCTAAATCCCTTGGAGCATGTTGAGGGCATGAAGATGTGTATAGGGTAAAGAGTCCTGCCTTGTGGTCATCAGATCCAGCAATCCATTTGCCTGTGTAGGACATGTCCGTGCCCCAGCATGTGTCTCGAAGTAGCAGATAAATGCATCAGAGATCGTAAATGCTGCAGAGCCAGTGGAGAAGTGCCTGCACCCACTTCAGGGTCTTGAGATTTCATTGCAGGCAGAGGCACCTGCCTGTCTTCACCTGTCCATATGCACGTGGAAGTGTGAACTGAATCCCAAATCTTGTGGGTGATCAATCGCTAGAATGAGACACAGGCTCATCCTCTGCCTTTGTGGCTTAGAGCTTGAAGGGGAAGAGTCCTCTTTACTCTCTTGGGGATAGTGAACTCATTAGGTGTTTTCTGCCTTTTCTATTTTGGTGGTACAGTATGTAAATATTTTATTTGTGTTTCAAAACAAAGCTATTGCTGTTGAACAACTTAAAACTTCTTATTTCTTCTGTGTCTGCCACCTTCTTGGCTTATGAGATGATCTGTTCAGTAAAATGTGTCATTTTGAAGCAAATTAGAGTATAGGAAACAACCAAAACAGTTATATCTACTCAATTAGGTTCTTAAGCTGATGACGCAGCCTCATCAAAGTCCTAGATTTAGCTCGAAGCTGCTGTTTTACAGTGGACAGCTGCTGGCTTGATACCCGAGTAGCAATGTTTGGTTAAAACTCTTCTCAGGCAACATTTCCAGACTAAGATTCAGGAATACTGGTAGAGGTGTTCTATGATTCAACTCATGGTATTGCTTGCTAACATTAAATTAATGCTACAGTTTCCCCTTCAGTGTGTTTGTACGTCAGTTCTGGAGTGCACCATATCTTTGTTCCACCTTTGTCAAAACATACATATAACAAGAAAGTTGTGTCTACAAACAGTGGTAGTGAGCATGGCAGTGTTAACAAGAGAAGAAAGCATTGGGTATCAGTCATAATCTATGTCAAAAACCTAAGTAACAGATTGGTTGCTAAACTTGATGCATTTAAGTCACTAGACCCGTGTCCTCATGAAGGAGAACAGTCTAAAGGCTGTGGAAGATGAGTTCACTATGACACAGCCTCTTTGGTCTGGCATGTGACACTTGTCACTGCGAAATCCTGCTCCAGGAAAGGTGCTCCAGGGTGATCCCGATATGCAGGTGATACAAATAACTGCTTGGCTTTCAGGAGACTTTGAATCAAGCCCTTCAGAAACAAGAGGAAAAGTTCAAAAAGCCTCAGTGTTTTGCTTGGGTCCCATTAAGCTGCTACTTCCATGTATTGTTTTCCTGTTGCAGCTGGCAAAATATTTCTGTATAAAAAGAACTGTTTCTTCTAGCCTCCCTGCTCCTCCTGTATGGCTTTGCAACCTAAAGCCTGACGTTGTAGGTGTTTTCGCAGCGGTGAGTGATAACTTCACAAACAGAATTGAAGTATTGCTGCAAAAATCAGACAGGAAGAGGCAGTGGGGAGAAGATGGTATGTTAAAACTGGGTGAGATAATGCGGAAGAAGGTTCAGGGATGGTTCAGTGGAAGGCTTTGGTCCGGTTACAGTGGCAGTGTTTTGCCAGAGTATCTTCTCTCTGAAGGGAAACCTCTTGTAGCAGGCGGGGGCTAGTGGCGTTGTTTCCCGGGCTCTCTGGCTATGAACTGCATGTCTCTGGCATCCCTCTGCTTCTCTGAGCCCTGACTCTGCAGGAGTTTTAGAACATCGGATCTATGTGTTACAGTGTGTAGTTTCTGCTGGAATTGTTGTAGGCTGTATGAAATGGCTGGGATTGGCACTGTGAGGTGAAACAAAACAATACCTCTGATAGAAACCAGGCTGTGTGAACACAAGGCTGGAAATGACCTCCTAGGGCACTCGGTTATTCTCGTGCTATTGCAGGAAACTGTATCATGCAGACCCTTTCATAAGCTTAGTGTGTTCACTGTTAGCACTATTTCGCTTCCACTGCAACTGTAAAAAGGCCCTTCCAGAGACTTACTTCTCTAATGGTTAAACAATTTAATATTGAATATAAGCTGTCCACGTTTAGACTATTGCTGTGTTCTTGCTGATGTGGTTTCTCCAGGGTTTGCTTCCACTTGACATACCTACAAAATGTCATCATATCTCTGTGGTCCCCTGGTTTTACTGAATGAATGCTCCAAGTTGTTTTGGTCACCCCATCGGAGATAGGCAGGAGCTCTGGTATGGAGCCTGTTGTTCCAGCCAGAAGACTGTCATGCCAGTAATAGCTACACTGGGAACAGTGGTTTTGGGCGGTATAAGCTGTTTCTGCACTGTTTCCTGATACTCCTTTGCCACAAGGGTTTTTCCAGTATAGATTTAGTCTCTAAGTGTTGTAGCCTAAACATACTATGGAAAAATGGGCTCAGATTACACTGGCAGCTCCTTGGATTGTAACGCCCTGTTCTTTTGCGGTCAGCTGAGCACCCTATGCTGTGGTTTCAGCTATTTTTACTTATAGAGGTATCTTTCAGTGTGAAGCTGTATTTTTAGTGTGTAAATAGTATAGGTAGAATACCATGCACTGTTGGGTTTTTTTAATACAAAGTTTGGCTTATTATACACACCGTGCATGTTTCTAGTTTCTGTGTCTTTGCTGCAGGATGGAAGCTGAGGGAGTGCTGCATGCTGTGACAGTCGGGCAGGGAACACGTGGGATGGGTTTGGCACCCGCAGGGAGCTGGGAGGCACTGTGGCACTTGCATATTTGCCAGAATTCTAGGAAACGTTATCATTAGTTAAGCAACACTGATATTTAAGCTCTCATCTTTGTTTCAGAGCTCTACTGAATAGGGACAGTTTCAGTAGGACTACTGTTTCAAGCTGTCAGCTGCTGCAGGAAGCTAAGATGTAATTTTTAATGATTTTTCATTTCATCAGGCGCACTCTGCAGAGAAAGGGTGGGTTAAGGATGGGCAGTAGCACAGGATCTCTGGAGTCTTGATGTCAGCTTCTGTGGGATGGGCCTCTGTCTATAGCATCTATATTTAAATTTGAGGAAGGCTAGTGGATAAAAACAAATTTCTGAGAGAATCTTTGAGCAAATACTTCTGGTGCTGGAGATGCACAGTCACTATTGCATCTTAACATGATTATATCAGGCTAAGCTGGGGTCCCCAGCTGACTACCGCTCTACACATACACCTCTCCTTAACCTTGCTCCTTTCCCAGAAGAAGCCAGCTCAGAAAGACGATCTGTCACCGGAGGGAGAAGAGGCTTTACTGCAGCCCCCTTCCCAACGCAGCAAAGCACTCTCCAGCAATCCAGTTAATGGCAGACCAAAACATATGTTCTATGTTAAGCCTGTGCGTGAGTTGTGTGTTGAATGCTGGCCAGAGTATTTGATACATCATATAATAAGGCTTTTTCATGCAGTTCGTTTGTTCCTTTTTATCCCTCAGTTTTGAGACCAGCAGTGGTGCAGGTTGTGCTTGGGGGTTTTTTGTGATCAACACCTTGGAGAGGTGTACTTGCCTCTGTCTTTCCTCAAAGGCGACAAGCAAGAGATGGCAACCTCTTGCTCTGACCTCCTTTTGGAAAGGCTGTATTTTGAACATGCCATGTACCCAGTTGTTAATCTACAAATTGTTGTTTGTTGGGGAGAATTTGTGTTTGGGCTGGTAGAATTTCTTGTCTGCAGGAAACTAAACTTGTATTTCTAAAACTGTTTTTGTTTTCAAAGCATAACACAAAAAGCCAAAATTTGTAAGTGGTCTGTTGAGTTGAAATGGTATCTCACACACACAGAAAAAAAGCTGAGCACTGTGGCATCAATACGATAATGTTGCAACAAGAAGTTGATGTTGAAATTAATTTCTAAGTATATCGGAACTAATTTAAATGTTTTCCTTAAACTTTATATGTTAGTTTTCTTAACACACCGAGATGAAATGGGTATGTTCCTGCAAAACACTTCATTCTGGACAAACTATTTCCTATCAGCAAACCCACTTCATTTTTTTTAACCAGCCTACTCGTAGTTTGGGGGAATGCAAGCACCGCTGGCTTTAACCCCAAGCCATAGCTCTCTCTGTTAATCACCTCCATCGTTTAGGATTGAACTGATATGACTAGCCCACCGCTGAAGTATGGCATCCTGCAGCTCACCGACTCAGCTACCGTCTCAAAATGACCAGCCAACATCAACTCTGCAAAAGCCACCGCGGGAATTCACCAGGAGCTATTCCTATTTCAGCAGTGCATTCATCGCTGTCTGTTACGTGGGGTAACCTGGTCCAGAAATCATGCTTCTACCTCACCCCGAAAACGAGTCCTTGAACGAAGCCCCTGCACGCTCGCAGTAGAACAACAGAGAACCTCCTTAAGAGAGAAGAAAGGGGAGGAGAAAGTGTCGCTCTCTGGCTATAGCAACCCCACCTCCCAGTTATTTCATCTTCCTTACAAGGCTAAAGCTAGAAGCTTTCCTCTGCCGCCTGGTTCCCTTAAAAGCAGGAGAGCAAGCCCCGAGGATCCCGGTGGAGTGCAGTCGGGATGGGAGGCTGACAGGGATGGGGAAGGAGGCGCTGGCGTGAGCCCTGCGGAGAGCACGGCAGAGAAGGCTGGTGCTCTCCAGAGGAGAAGTGTGACAGTAGCCTATGAATCCTAAACCAGGTGTTCATTGATGCAGAGCTCCAAAGAAACATGAAACCAAACCCAAAAAGAAATCACTGAGGGGGAAAAAGTGCAACATGAGAGGTAAATATATTTTTCATTGGGAAAAACAAAAATAACTGGCTTTATTTCATTTGAAAGTCGTTATTGTAAGTAGATGTCTAAAGCTGGGGACTGAAAAATACATTTACTAACATCTGAATAAAGACTTTGGTCTGACTCTGACTTCAAAAGCAGCACTGGGTTAAACAGTCAGATCAACAGATGAATTCAGGTGCCTCTGAAGAAATTTTGAATTTTCTCTTTAGGCATTCACACCTGAAAACTTGTTTAAAATTGGCTTTTCTGTTTTGCTTTCTCTGCTATTGCTAAAGGTTATTGAGAAGTAGTATGCACATTGCTTTGGGAAAAAAAAAGAAAAAGAGAAAAAGAGTGGCAGAACCAAAACCTAAACTGAGAATGTGGTAAACTGTCTCCAGCAAGACATTTCAAATACTGCCGTACCCCTGTTCTTGCACTAGTGCCATTTCTTCAGAAAGATCCATGACCTACTGAGCTGGAATGTCTGTTGACATCTGGTTGAGGTTACTGTAGCTGGTATTTGAGATTCAGGGGTTTTTTCCAGTTTAATTGAAACAAGCTGAGATTGTCTACACATTCTGTGAATTGTTTCCACACTCTGACCATCTAGTCTCTCTGAAGGGTAATTCTAGGACTGCTGAATCTGAACTGGAAAAGAGGAAATACCTTGATAGTTCAAAACTGCAGCCCTTCTGTGGGTCATGCTGCCAGTGAAAGTCAGAGTGTCTGAAAGATGGAAGATTTTGCCCCCTGTCTGTAAGATGCACCGAGACAGATATTTTGCAAATATGATACTACTGACTTCAGTGTAACTGTAAGGTATAATACTTGGGCTTCTGATGTACATCTTCGAAATGCTAGAGGTCTTACAGATGCTTTTATTCACCAGGTAAAATGAAAAACTGGTCTTTTGAGAGTAGCTGCTGGGACCTGTGACAAACCAAGAGACCGGAGGATTACTACACAGCTCCTGCAGATTCTCATCTACGTCATCGGCTCAGCCTTCCAGCAAGTGTATGCTGAGGTGTGGGATCAGCAGCCAAGGATGGAAGTCCTACGCCGTTCCTCAGTCTTTGCTGCAGAGGTGATGGAGGTTTTTGACAGGTCTCCCACTGACAAGGAGCTTGTGTCCCAAGCCAAGGCTCTCTGCAGAGACTACATAAATTCAAGGCTAATTAGAGCGGGTGTCAGCTGGAGCAAACCTGAGTACAATGCACCAGTGCCTGGCGGTAAGCTGGCCGAGGTGTCCACCATACTGCTGCGACTAGGTAAGTCCCTGCGGGTATGGGTGGGAACTGAAACTATATGGAGCAATTCAGACCAGACTAAGGTTTCTGGAACTGATGAGTGCCAAGAGGCTTTTCATGTGATGATACAGAGGTTTTTCTTCTCTGCTTTGGGCATTTAGATTTGTTTTTGGTGATCTTCCCTAAACAGCTCCTTTACTTGCATTTCCTCAGTCCCTTGGAGCACTGCTCAGCAGCGTTTCCGCAGAGCTACTTTTTTCTGAGGACTTGCAACAACTTAAAAGCATGATGCAGTCCAAGAAAGCCCAACAGCAAACTAATTTTATCTGCATAAGACTTCAGCTGCATAACAGTTTTCACAGTAGTTTCAGTAGTCTTTCTCAGCTTGGCATTTTAACAGGTCTTGCAGTGTTTTCTCCAGACGCAGGTGACTTGGCTGCCATGACGCAACCCAAGCTGGCATGTAGTAGACTACTGCTACCTCTAGACTTGGGCTTCATCAGTTGCTTGCCCAGCTGCAAGGACATTTAATTTGGGGGTAGTTGCTTAGACCATGTGTGTTGGAGATTTTATAAAAGCCGCTTTTCAATGACAGTGTGTTTACAGTGTGTTTAATTTTCCTTTGCCTA